GTGTTGCATGTTAGGTTTAGGTTGTTGCAATGCGCTAGGTTGGTTGCTACGCCGGATGCCCTGAGGCTGCCCCGTTTTGCTTATAGGGACCCGGACTTGTGGGTGATGGTCGCTTCAGCCTTGGTTTCGTCCACGTCCCCTCGTCCTTCTCCTCCTGTGGTTCAGTCTGTTAACCCGCTACCCCCACCCCTCTGCTTCCGGGTCCGAAACATCTGAGGGTTTCCGAGTCGGACCAGGGTTTAGATGGTCTTGAGAGACTGGCAGTCTTCGGGGAAGCCCCTTCCAGTGTGGCGATGGAGGCATTCGCGTCTGCTCTCCCTGCCGAAGCCTCTGGGTCTGACCAGTGGGCCCCCTTTCGTCCGACTTTTATGGCTGCACCAGCCTTTTCTTTTGAGGCTGGTGCTTTGGGTGATCACTCAGCCCTGGGTCCATATACGAAGGATCCCGGGGTTACCTCAAGGTGGGGAGGGGCTGACTTGGGGCCTTGGGTCCCATTGGACCCCGCGTGGGTTTTTCAGCCTTCAGAGCGGGGCTTACTGTTACAAAGAGAGGGGTTTTCCTTTTCCCCTCTGCGTACGAGTTGGATTTGGTGTCTACCCCCTTCCCAGGTTCAGTTCGGTGTCCCCTCGGGTGCGGCGGTTCCATCTTTCCGAAGGTTTCCATCTTCCCACATCCAACCGTCTGCGGTTCGGGCAGCCCTAGCGGCTTACCTCCTGCGTGACCCAGATTACGCCTCAGTGATGGATCCGTCGTCTTTCAGGTTTGGGACTTCGTTCTCTTTCTGGGTCCGTTACGAGGTTCCGGAGTCGTCCTGGCTGGCGACTGTCCTATCTTTGCCTTGGAGGCTTGGCATTCTTTGTCGTTTCCGCACGCTTGAGTGGCACGAGGTTTCGACTGCGGTTCAGGTTTTCCTGGGGGGGTGACCTTGAGCACCTCAATAAGTGCTTGTTTGCTCCTGCCCTTCCCTGGGATGTTGGCGTTCTGCAGCTCCATGTGCAGGTTCCCTCCCTTTTGGCTGCGCAGGTGGCCAAGGATTTGTGCACCAGGGGCCTCTTGGCTTCGACCTTGCGCTTCTTTTCCCTCCTGGAGTTGTCTTCGGACTGGCTTGGGGAGGATGTGGGGGCACTCGGGGTTGTTCTGGGGTCTGGTGCCTTGGGCTCGGCTGCTTGCGTGTCGGCTGCCTAGTTGAAGCTGTTTGCGGCGATCTTGCGGGATGCGGTTGCCCAGTTTTGCGCTTCCCGGCTCATGTGTTGACAGGCGGTGCTTGCCTCCTCTCTGGAATCGGCCTGGGCCCTGGCTCTTAAGATATCTTCCCCCTTTTGTTCTCTGCTTTTTGCTCCTGCTGCCATAGCACAGTATATTCAGCCTGCTTCGGCCAGTTGCCGTCCGATGTCGGACTTGTTAGTTCTCCGGAGGTCTCGGGGTGGGGGGCCTACCTTGAGGAGTCGTGCCAGGGCTCGGGGCTCCTCTTGTCATGGTAGGCCACTGGTGCCAGGTTCAGGCTTGGCTCCGCCTTCGGACCCACCTTCGGCTGGTCGGCGCGGTGTTCGCCCTCTGCGAGGTTCGGGGTCACGCAAGGGGCGCCGGCCCTTTCGCGGTTCGCCCGATTGACGGGCGATGGGGGGGAAGGGTTGTGCTGTCCGCTCACGCCTGGTCCCACGATTTGTAGGCGTTTCGGGTCGTTTCCTTCAGCCTTCGGTGGCATTGAGTGGCCCCTCCTCCTTTGGGGGGTTTGGGGCTGGCGGGGCAGGCTGCTTCTCCTGCGCTCTGTCGAGTCATCTGGGAATGGGTTTGCTTGGGCGTCATCGAAACGACGACGTCCCTCAGATGGGTTTCCCGTCTATCTCCAGTGCCGAAACAGTACTGTGCGGACCTGAGGTTCATTCTGAACTTGTCCTGTAAAGGAGGGGCAATGAACCCCTGGGTTCATTGCCCCTCCTTTCGGATGACTACGCTTTCTCAGGTTCGGCTTCTGTTGGAGCCGGGTTCTTGGATGGTGTCCTTGGACCTCCGGGACTCTTATTGGCATGTCCCGATTCATCCGGGGTTCAGGGGACTGGCTTGGTTTTGTTGTGAGGCGTCAAGGTTACCGCTTTCGTTGTGTCTCGTTTGGGTTGAATCTGGCGCTTCGCATGTGATCACGCGAAGCGCCATCATCTGGGGCGCTGTGTTCTTTCATCTGCGGCGCTGGCTTCGGTCATGCTGTTGAATCTGTTTGCGCCGATTCTCCGGGAGGTGGTGTCTCAATTCTTTGAATCTCGCCTCGCGATTCACCAAGCCATCCTTGTTCTCTCCTTGGAATCCGCTTGGGTGTTGGCTCTTAGATTTTCATCACCTTTTTGTCTGTTGTTGTTTGCGAACAGTGCTGTGAGTCAGTTTCTGCAGGCGGCCTCATCTAGTTACCGTCTTCTTTCAGATTTGTTGGTTCCCCTGAGTGGCCATTCTTGGCCCCCACAGAGGGGTCATGCCAGTGCTTACCATATTCGTAGTCTTACTTTTGGCTTGAATCTGACACCTTGTGTTTTCACAAGTCTTTATCTGGGTTGTGGTGACTCCCCTGCATCTGCTAGGGGTTCGGGTTCTGGGCTACTTCGACGACTGGTTGGTGTGGGCTCCCAGTTGGTCTGCTTGTCTGCTCACCAGGGATGTGGTTCTTTCCCAGCTCACCAGGTTCGGGTTCCTAGTAAACTGAAATAAGTCCCATCTGGTTCCGTCCCAGGTTCAGACCTGACTGGGACTCATGTGAGACTCTCTGATCGCTTCTGTGTCTCCCCTTCCTGCGACATTGCTGAGGCTGTGGTTCCACCTTGAGCTGTTCCTGGGGGGGGGGGTCCCGGGTCACCCCTAAGAACTTCAGAAGAAAAATGGGTAAACAGGAGTACGAGCGGGGCGCACATATCGCAAGACACCGAGTTGAAGGTGTCACCAACCCAACAGGCAGCATGAAGGAGGCGAAACAGGTGATCATCATCCTGAGACGGGCAACGAACAACCCTCAAACTCGCACAAGGCGAGATGGGACTCTGATGATGCTGCAAAGCCAGTTGAGCCCGAATGAGAATGTCAACAAAGAGAAAACTGGGCTAAAATTGAACCCCTGTGAAGTGTACATGCACGGGGGCCTAGAGAAGGGCCTCCAAAAATACCCTAGAAGGACTAATAGTCAAACCAGGCAGACCTCTTCCATGCAAGAAACAAAAATAAAAGACTCTGCAAAAGCACAACAACAACAACAACAACAGGAATAATAGGAAACACGGCCATCTTAGGTAGACGAGCTGCACAGCACCATGCGCCCCAACCAGCAACATCACTTCCTACACAGAGCCAAACAAGACCCCAACACCCCAGTTTGCCCCAAGGGTGGGGTAAATGCAAAGTAGCAGGAACCCTATGAAAGTGGAGTCTCAAAGGCCTTAGGGAAGAAAACCCTAGAACCCAAGAGTAGTACAGTAGTACACCAGGCAGCCGGCGCCGGGTGTTGGGGGGGGGGGGGGGGGGGAAGCTGTGCAGACAAGCAGCACGGTGGTGGTGGATGACGTTTGCTGGTTTGCTTGTTTCCTTGTTTTCTTTTTGGGAGTTCTATTTCTCTGTTCAGTCTTGGGTTGCAATTTCCTACCACGTGGTGTTTGTTTTGGAAAGCCTACCTTTCTGGGTGCCTAACCCCAGTCAATGGCAAACATGGAATATTCCCAAATACAATGGAGGTTTCCTTAGGCCATTGCTCCCTGCGCCTTTCTGAGGGGGGCCAGGTTCTGGCTCGTGGTCCCCGGTAGGCAGAACTCCATTGACTGTAGTCCCAGACTAATATAGCATATATCAGCCCAATAAGCTCCAGGGAGCCAAAGAAGCCCCCTGCAGAAAGAACTCGGTGACTCAGTGACAGGGAGCCAGTCGGCCGAGCGGACAGCACACTGGACTTGTGATCCTGTGGTCCCGGGTTCGATCCCAGGCGCTGGCGAGAAACATTGGGCAGAGTTTCTTTCACCCTATGCCCCTGTTACCTAGTAGTAAAATAAGTACCTGGGTGTTAGTCAGCTGTCACGGGCTGCTTCCTGGGGGTGGAGGCCTGGTCGAGGACCGAACCGCGGGGACTCTAAAAAGCCCTGAAATCATCTCAAGATAACCTCTAGATAACTAATGGAACCTAGTAGTTTGGCACTATATCAGCAGTGTAGCTTCACAAAGCCCCAAGAGGACTTTTCCCAGAAAATTAATCAGATCTGGTGTTCAACAGCTGTCCAAACTCCAGAAAGCAAAAGCAACTTTATATTAATAATAAAGTGCATACCTCATTCTAGCTTTGATAGACAAAGACAAAGATAGAGACTGAGACACTTATCTAGACTAACAAGCTCTCTTAATTAACCTTTAGGCAGAGATTATCATCTATTGACAATTCTTAGGATAATGCAGTTATCGTCTTATGACAATTTAAACAATTATTGTCTGGGTTTTACATGTATGATGCAAATATGGATATAATAGCTCTCTCTGAATGTAAATAAAGAAAAAGTGATAAAACAATAAGTAAAACATCCTAGGATAAAAGAGGAAGCGTGGGCAAAGTCAAGCACCAGTAGACAAGTGCCAGACGCAGCCTTGCACACCAACTCCACCCAGTGCAACGATAAATATTCACTTATTTTTGTGGTTTTCTTACCTTTTCCATACAAATTAATGATTCTATAATGAAAAATTATTGCTTGGATTATTTTTTTTTGTGAATAGGCGGGTATGAACATAGTTGCTGTCCAAGCATTAAATTTTTCACCAGTTATATCATAATAATCTTGATAAATTCTTTAGAGAATGAATGGTAAACAGTACTTCTGATCTCAAGAGTGAAAAAAGTTGAAGAAACATAACTATTTTGTTTTAATAGGTGTGGAAGGAGGAATTTTCAGTTACAAAATTCATTTGTTAGATTCTGATATCCATAGAAAAGAAAAACTGTTATGTTTACTGCTAAAACAAGCCGAGTGGAAAATAATACAAGCAACCTGTGTATCCTGGCCCTTCCAGTGAGAGACCAAGAGCCTGAGTGTGTCCATAATGACATCTTCAGGTGTGGTGGTGGAGCCCTCAGGATAAACACTCAACACTTCTTGCAGAACATCCAGGCTTGATCCCTCCATCAACACTGAACATGACAACTCTTTCAGCAAAGGTTCACTGCTGCCGGTCTGAGCAAACTACAAACAAAATAATGTGCAATGTTACATATTTAGAATTTCCATTCCATAATATCTTAGAACTTATTATTCCTTTTTTCATATTTGACATTTTTGTGGATAAAATTTATTAAGCTTGATATGGTGGTTCTTAATTATACAAGACAACATTTATCTCTGTGCGAGTTAAAATTAGATAATTTAGAACAAGGTTCAGCATATTTAAGAACACACAAGATTCATTCTCTTCTTGATAAAAAAAACTCCACTGCTAAGTACAGTATTTGGTGTAAGTGCAATATAACTAACATCCACAATCCTGAGCAGTGTCAACAAAAATACTTTATGATCTTTGACAATCTAGTAGAGGAACTTGCCTTATTGGCATAACTTCTGAGTCGTGGATCTTTGCTCCTTTGCAGCTTTTGGAATGTATTGGAACGCAAAAGCTCTAAATGAGTCCCCCAACGCTCTATTTCTGCTGAGGCTTCCTGCCAGCCTTTGCCGTCATCAGCTAACTGTCAAGCAAGAATCAAGGTTTTTGTAAGCAAACACATTTCTAACAGGTACACTTCTAACAGATAAGCAGGTGCATTTCTAACATTAGATTTTATTCTTTATATTGCATATTCTTGCAAGACTTTTGAAATACAGTAATGTGGCTCAAAAATAAAAATATTAAAAGGAAAGTTTTGATAGTTAAGTTAATAACATTATCAAGGATGGAAAGTAATACTGCTGAGATTGGGGAGAATATGCTATGGTGCTAGATTATGTGGTGTACAGTGAATATTGGAAGTGGTGATGAATGCTAATAGAAGTGAACTTAAATGAACTTGAGGGAGAGAGAGAAGACTGAGAAAGTGGGCAGGTACAGCAAGCAACTTTGAGACAAAATAGGGCATAGATGTGCACAACACACAAGTGGTGGCATGCATGTGAACAGGAAAGAGAGGGTTACAGAGACTGGAGGGACGTAGCAAGCAGAGTCCTGTGATGATCAGTCCTGAGCTCATTGTTGTATATATGTTCTTTAGTTTCTTCATAAAAGACATTAGAAACCCAGTTTGAAATTATCTCTTGTGAAAACCATACATTTTTTAATTATATTTAAAGTACTTGACATTTGTAGCCTCTCCACTCATTCTGAGAGTGACGGCTGCAATCATGCATACCATGGTTCACTATATTATGTTACTTTGTGGCCTTGCTCACTCTCGTATGTCATGACAGCCAAAGTTTTATCTGGTAACCTTTCCAAAACATAATATTCAAAAATAAAATCTCATGAACTGGGGTTCAAAAATTTAAACAAACTTGAAATGTTTGGACTAACAAAAACTCTACAGCTGAAGGCTCTGCAACCAATTGATCATGTTAAGTGAAACATCACTTGACATGTACAATTCTTCAGCAAAATATTCCATCAAAAGTCTCTTAGCAAGTGAAGGTAGCAAAAACTATTATTATTATTATTATATATTATTATTATTATTATTATATATTATATTATATGTATATATTATATTATATGTATATATTATATTATATATATATATATATATATATATATATATATATATATATATATATATATATATATATATATATATGTCGTACCTAATAGCCAGAACGCACTTCTCAGCCTACAATGCAAGGCCCGATTTGCCTAATAAGCCAAGTTTTCATGAATTAATTATTTTTCGACTACCTAACCTACCTAACCTAACCTAACCTAACTTTTTCAGCTACCTAACCCAACCTAACCTATAAAGATAGGTTAGGTTAGGTTAGGTTAGGTAGGGTTGGTTAGGTTCGGTCATATATCTACGTTAATTTTAACTCCAATAAAAAATAATTGACCTCATACATAATGAAATGGGTAGCTTTATCATTTCATAAGAAAAAAATTAAGAAAAATATATTAATTCAGGAAAACTTGGCTTATTAGGCAAATCGGGCCTTGCATAGTAGGCTGAGAAGTGCGTTCTGGCTATTAGGTACGACATATATAGATATATATATATATATATATATATATATATATATATATATATATATATATATATATATATATATATATATATATTATATATATATATATATTATATATATATTATATATGTGTGTATATCACGAAAATAAACACGTGATTAAGAATGTGACAATGTCAGACCACGGAGGAAAAATGAAACAGGAAATTTCCTTAAGTACTTTCGTATATTAAATACATCTTCAGAAGGTGAAGATCTTCACCTTCTTCATCTTCACCTTCTGAAGATGTATTTAATATACGAAAGTACTTAAGGAAATTTCCCGTTTCATTTTTCCTCCGTGGTCTGACATTGTCATATATTATATATATATATATATTATATATGTATGTATATATATATATATATATATATATATATATATATATATATATATATATATATATATATATATATATATATATATATATATATATATATATATATATATATATATATATATATGTATGTATATATATATATATATATATATATATATATATATATATATATATATATATATATATATATATATATATATATATATATATATATATATATATATATATATATATATATGTCGTACCTAGTAGCCAGAACGCACTTCTCAGCCTACTATGCAAGGCCCGATTTGCCTAATAAGCCAAGTTTTCCTGAATTAATATATTTTCTCTAATTTTTTTCTTATGAAATGATAAAGCTACCCATTTCATTATGTATGAGGTCAATTTGTTTTTATTGGAGTTAAAATTAACATAGATATATGACCGAACCTAACCAACCCTACCTAACCTAACCTAACCTATCTTTATAGGTTAGGTTAGGTTAGGTAGCCGAAAAAGTTAGGTTAGGTTAGGATAGGTAGGTTAGGTAGTCGAAAAACAATTAATTCATGAAAACTTGGCTTATTAGGCAAATCGGGCCTTGCATAGTAGGCTGAGAAGTGCGTTCTGGCTACTAGGTACGACATATATATATATATATATGTCGTACCTAGTAGCCAGAACGCACTTCTCAGCCTACTATGCAAGGCCCGATTTGCCTAATAAGCCAAGTTTTCATGAATTAAGTTTTTTTCGACTACCTAACCTACCTAACCGAACCTAACTTTTTCGGCTACCTAACCTAACCTATAAAGATAGGTTAGGTTAGGTAGGGTTGGTTAGGTTCGGTCATATATATACGTTAATTTTAACTCCAATAAAAAAAATTGACCTCATACATAATGAAATGGGTAGCTTTATCATTTCATAAGAAAAAAATTAGAGAAAATATATTAATTCAGGAAAACTTGGCTTATTAGGCAAATCGGGCCTTGCATAGTAGGCTGAGAAGTGCGTTCTGGCTACTAGGTACGACATATATATATGCATATATATGCGTACATACATACTATTACATGGACAAGCCAGTACAGTAATCTCATTTAAACTCATAAATAATTAACTTCTGGAAATATTGACAAAAGTGGAATACATGCAGAACACCCACCCACACACAAGCCAGAGATGCAGATATACAAGAGAGCACTCACCATCCAGCCTTCCTCTTCCTCGGTAAACTAATAACATGCCAAGCAAATAATATGCCTTTAATGTTTTTAATTAAATTAGGTACTATACTTACAAAAATTATCATTACCACATTTCCCACCTTAATGAGAATGGAAAATTGGAAACTATACAGTAGTGAAGAGGTTATAGATATTAAAAAATTGAGATATCACTTATCTATTCATTACATCATTCACAATACATAACATTAAAGAATAAGCAAGTACTAACACACTTGAAATATTATCCACAGCAGCACCCCATTGCACCATAAGACCAGGTGTTAAGTGAGACCATAAGTGGTCTAATGAATTATGTTGTACAGCACAAATTTGACCACTTTTGCATTCCAGATCTCTCCATGGTCTGGTATTTCAGTTATTTTATTACTCTATTTCCAGGTTGGCCTCCTCCATGGCTCCCCAGATTGTACATATAACTGAGGGCCAATATTATCTCACCTGGTGTCTTTATCACAGCTTACTGGAAGCATGGACCTGAATCCTGTCTGCTCACAGAGGCAGGGGTGCTCATGGTGTATGTATATATAAAAAAAAAAAAAAAAAAAAAAAAAAAAAAAAAAAAAAAAAAAGAGAAAACTCCAGAAAGCCAAAAGAAGGTATTAAAAAAAAAAAAACAGCGTTGAATGTAATGAAATGCCATTTTCTGGGTGAGACCCGGAGGCTCCCCAGAGCTTACTTGGCTGATATGCTCATGTCAGACTTTTGGCATCAGTCATGGGTATGGAGTTCTGTGGGCCTACTGGGAACCACAAGCCAGAATCTGGCCCCCTCAGAGAGGAATGGGGAGCAATGGCCTATAGAAACCCCCATGTGGTTGGTAGCATTCTATGTCTGCTACCAACTGCTACTATGTCTATCGACTGGGAAAGGCACCCAGAAAGGTAAGCATCCCAAAACAAACCCCTATTCTAGTGAAAATATTGCTACCAAAAGCCGAACAAGTTAATAGAGCAAAAACGAGCAAATGAGCATGACGTCACACATCGCCGTGTCGCTGTCTGCGCAGCTCCAGCTTTCCCGGGAGGGGGAAAGGGGAGCCCCAGACCCCCTATGCCGGATATTCACCCGTCAGTTTTGAGGCTAGATGTCAAAAATAAGAGAAAAAAACACCGACCGGAGGGAGGGAGGGATGCCGGGGAGCCTCCGGGTCTCACCCAGAAAATGGCGTTTCATTACATTCAACGCTGGTTTTCTGGAAGGAGCCCCTTTGGCTCCCCGGAGCTAACTACCCCCAGAGGAGAAACATTAGAGACTTACCTGAGAGGCGGTTGCTGCTCACTCCTCAACTCGAAGTCGAGACAACTAGCTGCATCCGCCGACCCAAAGCAACACAGGCCTGACTAGGCCCAGGAATGTTCACCAGGTAACAAGCAGCCAGGACCCTGTTCGACCGCCAAAAGCCCCGTGCCTGAATGTCAGCCCAGGACATATTGCAAAAGACGGCAGCAAGAGCAGAGAACTTATGAACGTCATGGGCACGGGGATAGACCGCAGGCTGGCTAGCCTTAATAACTCTGCAGACAACTTGGAAGACCCGCACCCATGAACAGGGAAGAAGGGAAACTGGATCTACCCACAGCGCGTCCCCAGAAACAGAAGCCGTGGTGCGCAAGTAACAGCGAAGAGCCGCAACCGGACACAAAACAGCACCATCGCCCTGACCAACCAAGCATCAACAACCCAGGGACCCCTCCGGAAAGCAGCTGTCTCATTCTTTGCCAGAAATGGAAATGGCTGCAAATGAACAAAACCATTACGAAGACCGAAGGAGAAGAAACCCCTGCGCCGAAGAAGAGCATGAAGCTCCCCGACCCAACCCCCAGAAGTCAATGCCAACAGAAAAAGAACCTTGGAGAAACAATCCTGAACCGAAGGGGGCCACAACAAACTGAGGAAAAGAAAGAAAAGA